ATTATACATACATATACATATATATATATATATATATGTGTGTGTGTGTGTGTTTGTGTGTAGTACATATATATACATATATTTGCCTAGCCCAATTGAGAACGTTCTTCATAAACGTTTTTCCAGTGTTCTGTCTCAAGAAAGAAACAAAGCAAGAAAGCAGGAAATGCGAGACTAGGCGATGCAAGATCGACAACAGCAAAGAATCCACGAAAATCATCCTGCAATATCCAATATTTTTAGATTGGATTGGTTTGGGTTGGATTGAGAGAATGTGGGGTTAGTAGTGGATTGAGATTTTTTATATTTGAAGGTTTTGGGTCCAACCCATAAAATCCTTCCTTATCTTGTGTCATGTCTGAAATTTTAAGAAAAAGAGGAATTAAAATGGTTGAGATTGAAAAATTTTATTAAAAATAGGGCTCTATTTCATACACAAATAACATGTGTTCTTGTATCGCGTTCTAAACTTTTAAGAAAAAGAGGAACGAAATTGTTGAATTTAAACTTTACTAGAGAAACGGCTCGGTTCATTCAAAAATTACATCTCTCATTGTACTTTTTGAGATATGCATCTTTCAGAATATTCACCATTAATTTTTAAATTAAGGGTGGCAACTGTTAAATTGTTTTCCTTTTTTCAAACCCGAAAGGAAAAAAGAAAGTGGTGTTAATAGGTTGGGAAGAGTTGTACCCACTTTATTGATTTTTATTTGGGACAATTTTTAAAAATACTTAGTACTCTTTGTAATGTTCTACCCCTTAACATTAGCCCATATATTTTTACTTTTTAGATTAGAATTAATTTAGGGGAGAATTTTTTAAAATGGTACTTTTAGTAGGTTAGGTACTTAATGAGGTAGACTCTATAATCTTCTCTTTTATTTGTTGTTTCCTTCCATGGATCTTAACTTTTTCCTAAAATAAAATAAAGAAAAGATTTTTTTTTTTTTTTTGCATGACATAACCTTGGTTTTGTGGAATGACCTTACAAGTACAAGATTAAGATTAAAGCCTTTCAAAAAAAAGATTAAACAAAAAAAAAAATCTCCTTAAATTATTAGATATTCACCAAACAATGTGCTCAAATGTATTCCTTTTTTTACTTCAAAAAAAAAAAAAAGTATTCCCGTTTCAACGAATCCATAGAATATTATTTAGAGATCCATTATTTTCAGTAAATTATATTTAATTAGGTGTAATATGCAAGCAAATCCATTTTACTGCCGTTAAATTAGTAAAAGATAATCACCGCTTGACGTGAGAAACCAAAAATTACGAAACCTTCATTCAAATCCTAACACAAATCATTAAATAAGAGCTCGTTTAGTTTGCTAATTTGAGTTAAGATGTGACTTTATGTGAGAGTTTTTTACTGAAGCAAAAAAGTTAAATGTGATTGTTTCTGAGAGCTTTTTACTGTAACAAAACTCGAATCGGTGAAATGAACGGGGCCTAAAATCAATAAAATAAAAATGGAGCATATTGCAAAGCTTTAACAAGTTGTAGGATAAATCTTGAAAACTAAATAAATCATGGAGCAAGTTGTCTAACCTTTTTTTTATCAACTTGATTTGAGTAGTGATAAGGACACCAACTCAAATCTCAACTCTTGTATACTAATTGATGTGGCATGTAAGTTATCATCTTTTTCTTAATAGATGCAATCTCTTATCATCAATTAACGTGGCAATGTTTTAAACACCCACTAATATAAAAATGACAACTCATATGTCACATCAGTTGGTACACAAAAGTTGTAATTTGAGTTGGTGTCCCTAGCATTATTCTAAAAAAGAACTCGTCTTAAAACTCATAATCGGGTAGAGTACACAAAATCAGATAAAATTCGAGTCAAACATTTTTTAACCGACCATAACAGAATTATATATATATATATATATACATACGAATGCCTTGGCCAATTGAGAACGTTCTTCATATACGCTTTCCAAGTGTTCTGTCTCAAGAAAGAAACAAAACAAGAAAGAAAGCAAAGCAAAGCAAGGCAAGGCAATTCAAGATCGACAACAGCAAAGAAAGTGACCAAGGTACATTTAATCTCCTTATTCTAAACATTCCAGTTTTTCTGTTCACTAATTTGTGTAAATTAATATCTACGTTTTGATCATATCTTCAGTATGGGCAATATGAGGAAGAAGAAAGATATTGGTGGAATTGAGCATGAAGTAATCACCATGATTATGGAGCTGGAGAGTTATTTCAAACAAGTTGCCCAAAGACTAAGCGAAATGAAGCAGTACAAGGACAGTGGATCCCTCGGATTCGGAGAACTCGGGCATCTTAACATTGTAGAGGAAGAAACAAGAAAAGCTCAAGAAACTGTCTGTGAGGACTTATCCAAGTTGATGAAAGAACAACCTGATCCACAGCAAAATCCCAAAATTCGCAACGCGACGCGTAGAATGTATACTAGTCGTGACATGAAATTTGCCATGGCGAAGATCAAAATGTCCATGGCAGGATTACAGGGTGTACAAGAAACTTTGGACTTGTTAGAAGAGAGGCTTCGTAAGTATAATGTCCCGAAACTAGATGCAATTGATCGGTCTAAGTCCACCGAATCTTTCGACCAATACTTGGAAAGGCTAAGGGAATTCATGCAGGTGACTTGGAAAGATAAGGCAGAGAAATGTAGGCGAAAAGAACATAGGAGTTTGACAGGGTGGATTGTGAAGCTTGAGGAATCCGAAGACCCCGAAAAGAGGATTACTTTTGACGCGCTGAGAGTTGTGTTAAATGACATTGGGAGCAAGATTTCTTGTTTTCTGATCAAGTACTTGTTGATCGTGTCAGTCTCTGTGGATAAGGAAGAAATGACTGCGAAACTTTTTGAGGTTGAGTCTATGATCCGATGCTTACATATAGAGGAGAATTCGATTGTGGTCAACACGTTCGTGACCGTGGTGAAACTCTTTGACAGAATGATGAGGACGATGATGAACCCTACGACTAAGATCGACATGACCAAGAAGCGTGATTCGCAGATTGAGAAGGAAAATGAAGTTCTTCATCTGATAATTATAGAAGTTCTGCGTTTAGAAGTTGGATTTTGTCACCCAGACTTGCCAATGATGCTTTCCAATGAAGTGTTTATGGCTATGGGTCAACATTTAATGGACAATGTTTTTGTAGAAAAACTGGATGGATTGAGAGCCAAGATAGATGGGCTAAAGAAAACGGAATTTCTATCTGATGGAGATAAAGATTCGATGGGGAAAACTTTTGAGCAAGCATTGACTCTTGTGGTTAAAGAAATTTGGAATCAACTTGATTTGAAGCCAAGAACTTAGTAAAGAAATTAGTGCCGACAGATACTTTTGTACTTAGAACTATGGTTGAGATTTTTGTCACATTCCATTTTTTTTTTTTTGGCCTTTTTTTTTTAAAGTTTGGTTTGGTTTAACGTACTACTTTGATTTGATGTCTCTAGAAAAAAATCTTCATAGTTTTTTAGTTCTGCTGTTTCAATAGTTTCCTTGTACTATTGTATTTTTGACTTGATTCAATACATTGTTAGCAAAGTTGAAGTCTGTTTTCGTGCACATTTAAATTGTGTAGTGACAATGATCTAGGAGACCTAGGAACTTAAATATTATATATATATATATATATAGATCATCATCATCAATCAATTGTTTTTCCTGTCCATTGTGAAAGGAAATATGAAAAGTAAATTTCTCGGGTTTCCAATGCTCGACCTATCAAACAAAAAGAAGAGGAGATTTTTGCACAAATCTTTAATATTGCCTCAAACTCATGATATACGAATTTTTCATTTTAGAGACGAGCATATGAAAACTTAGGATGCCGAAATTCAGTTTCAAATTTTTCTAAGTTTTACTTTTAACGGAAACAGGAAAAGCCATCCAAAAAGTCCTTGCAGTCAGAGAGTTTTTCAAAAAGCCATCCAAAAAGCTGGTTTTTGAATTTTCTAAATTCTTGTTGTCTTAAATTTGATACTTGTGAGTATTTGAATTTCAAGTTCAATTCAATCCGATAAAGACGGTTTAGATTTTATCCATTGGCTGAGATTGTGGAGAGATAATGCCGCGTTTGTGTTTTGATAAACAGTAAAGTCTGGTTGTGTGATTTTATGATGACAATCTGTTGAAGGCTTTTAAAAGAAAAGAGCAGAGAAAAACGGATGGAAGATTCTGAAATCAGAATTCAAATTGAAGAATAGATAATGTTTCAACAAGTTGGTGGAACAAATCTTGCGACATTCAAATTTTGAAAGATCTTCATATGAGATTTGAGATAAACTTTTATGCCGCTTTCAAATAAATTGTGAGTTAAGGCTACCTGGAACATCTAGAACATCTCATAATAAATTTCTTTTTAAGAAACCAAGTACTAAGGTTTTTTTTTTTTTTTTTTTTTTTTGAGGGGATACTAAGTACTAAATTAATGCATTATATTTTAAGGACTTTTTCTAGTGCTCCCTCTTTTTAGAGAACACCTGCATGTCTTACTTATCAACTGTCGGATATATATAAATCTGGTTAAAAATCTATCAAATTAAAAAAGTAATATAGATCCGACGGCTGATAAACAGAAAATACTGATGTTCTCAAAAAAAATGGAGCACTAGAGAAATTATCTATATTTTAATGGAATGTTACCTAGTATTGTTTTTAAGGAATATTTAGCTATTACAATATCAACAGACAGGGCAATAATACCTGAAAATGTGGTTAAGATTTCCGTTGCATCGTACATTTTTTTTTTTCTTTTGAGAACTGTGGTTTGGTTTTTGTTTCAAAAATCAATTTGTATTCTCTGATGATGCTTCAATTAGTTGTGACGATCTTTCTGTGTAATTGAAATATGCTAAAAATATGGTGAAGATATTGCATTGTTATTGAGCCAAAAAGCAAAGAGGCATTGAATACTAAACTAAAAATACTAAAAAAAAAAAAAAAAAAAAAAAAAAAAAAAAAAGGGGGCACTGCACGTAGTTTAAACCTTGTCATTTGTCAAGGGTATTCCCCGTCTATTGAAACTAGACTCTTTACATAATCAAAAGTTTGATACCATTTTACTTCCCCTTTGCGAATACTCTTGGTCTGCCTTGTGCGTATGTTGTAGGAGAAGAGGCCTTCGTGACTTGCTTGTATAAGGAGCTCCTCGCTGTTCAAAAATACTGTTGGGAACTTAAAATTATCAATACCTTCTGTATTGATTGATACATGTTTGGTCCAGCTCTGAGAAATTTGATGACCTTGATCCATTACCCACATTTCAATAGGTTTCGTCTTCAACCATTCCTTCCTCGGAAAACAAAACAGAACAACAGATTCATTCCACACAGTAAGGCTATTCCCGTAAGCCGACGGATTATAATCTTTGCTTTCGAGAATACCAGGCAAACGTATAGAACGAAATTCCTCACTGTGCATATCAAATGAGCTCATCACTATTTTATTGTGCTTATAACGAATCTTATCCGACAACCAATAGTAGAGTCCTTTGCAATATACATGGGAGAAGGAGTGCCTATGTGTAATTTGTTCGCGATCGAACTCGATCTCCCTCCAATCATCATCGCCCGGAGTATACACTTCAGCTATAAAAAAACGAAAGTATCGAACAATCCTAACCACCTTGTACACTTTGGCAATGTGATCATAACCTATTCCAAATTTACCTAAGTCTTTAGGAAAACATGGATCTGGAATAAGCTTCGATTCTCCGGTTGCTGGATTGCATAATGAAAAACGTTTTTTTAAGCAATCGACGAAGCAAATGATGCCATTACAATGAGAGACATCAACAAATGTTGGAATAACATATTTGAATAAGCCGCTGTGCTTACGTACTAGTGGCTCAAAATCTTTTTCAACGCATCTAAGGTCTGATTTGTTATCCTCATCATTGTAAATAGTGAGAGACCCTACGCGGATGCCTTTGTAGCTCGTAAAGATCACTAACGATGTCACCTTCTTCTTCTTGCTGTTGTTTGAATGCTTCACCACAAATATTGGGTTCTTGATGAGTTTATTGATCAGATTGTACCACGACTTTTCAACGCATTTAACCTGTAACAGAGATTCGGGTGGTAGCCATGACATGATTTCTATTATTATGTCCTCTGACAAGTCTGAAAATTTTCCCATATTCTTGTGTCGAATAAAAATTTAAAGTTCAGGCTATGGATTCTGTCAGAAGAAAAGAAAAAAAAAAGTTGTTAATCTACCACAATATTATACAGTATTAAAAACATAATCAAATATATATGACTGAAATTCAAGACCTGCTACTTAAGAGCATACTAAAATAATCGAGCCAAAACTCGGAACTCAATCCTCTAGGATAAATTCTGTATTAAAAAAAAAAAACCGAAAACAAAAAGTCTAATGGAATAGAATTTTGTTGGAAAAGAAAAAAGGAAAAAAATCAATAAAAAAATCAATAAGTTTTGACGATGGAGAGAGAGAGAGAGAGAGAGAGAGATTGATAACGCATTGAGAAAGAAACTTGAACGGGGGATGAAGAACTTTATACCTTGAGACGTGTGAGAACAATCGACAAATTAGATTATTGCTTCCGCCTTGAAGATTTGGTTCGGGTGTGCCAAATGGTTACAAGACATAAAATTGATGGAAAATAATGGTTAGTGATCACTATTTATAAGTAACATGCATGATGAGTTTCCGAACAGAAGTGGAACGCATTATCGTAATGATTTTTTTTTTTTTTTTTGTAATTCTATAAAAACAAAATCTTGTTCGTTAATGTAATCTTGTTCTAAATTTTAAATATAAAATATTAGGCATATCCGATTGTGGAGCGTAAAACACGGATACCAACTACAAAATACTTGTTCAAAAAATTTTCGAATCGTATATTATTTATCAGTGATTCAAATATTACTAATCGAGCCACGTATGTAACTGACGAAAATACGACATATGACCTTTTTTCAACTCCCTTCGACTGACCATCTATCACAGAAATAACTACCTCTTTTATCTCTTTATATTCCTTTTTTTTTTTTTTTGATAATGATTATATATATTGCCTTCTTAAAAGAGAACTTTATTAACAAACCGACTATCAAGAAAGAAAGACTACTTATAACGGAATTACCTAACTTGATCAAGTAACTTCGTAAAGAGTATTCATTTCTCTTAACAGAATTACCCATACTCTCTCTCTCTCTCTCTCTCTCTCTCTCTCTCTCTCTCTCTCTCTCTCTACGAAAAAAGAAGGCTCTTACTTAAGACTTTCTGCAGCAAAAGGTGAATACATGTCTCTCTTTCTATGAATATTTACACCATCGTTTTCTCTTGCAAGAATGGAATTGTTTACAATATTTCCTGTTTCTTGATGCTTTGCAGAGAATAATCAAACTGCGTCAATGATGAAGAAAGATGTCACTCTTGGGAGATGCCAGGACCTGTGCAAGAACATCGAGGCCCTGTATACACAGATTGACGAATTGTGACAGTTTGCAAACTATGTCGGTCGCTCTTCGATGGGCCAAACAGTGGAAGCAACCATAGAGCGGATACAAAAAGATAAAAAAGATGTCCAGACAGAGTTGGTGATGAAGTTGAAAAAGTATAACGATTCTGACCGCGACGGTGATATCAAGAATGTCAAATTTGATGATCTTAACAATGAAGACGACCCGACATGGATCGGACAAAGATTAAAGAGATCAAAATGAAGTTGGAGAGCATCAATCTCCAAGGAAATGATGATAAGCCGCCCGAGATTAAGAGTCAAAGGATTGAAGAAAAAAAGACTGCAATTCAGTGGCTGAAGGAGACTAGTAATTCGAACGAATTCGAGAAGTATGCATTGGAGCTCACGGCTCAGCTTTCTTTGACTGTGGTTGATTTATTGGTGATAATGCAAGAGAGGAAAGATCTGAAACAACAATTCCAACAATTCAAATCTAAGGTCGAATTGCTAATGATTGATGACGATTGCTTTGTATCAAGGCATATCTTGAATCTGCTGGAAATAGCCGAAACAGAATTGAAGGGGACCAAAAATCCAAAATGAATTGGCAGGCATGGAAGACGACAGTGATCGATATGAAAGCTCTCGTGAAGAGGAGATTGTTTGTAGCGACCCTCTTATGAGGCCGCCACTGTAACTTAAACTTTAACTTGTACTTACTGGGGTTTCTTAAAATTTGCGGAACATTTTTTTTTTTTTTAATATAAGAAAGAATACTTTCATAATTTGTAACAATAATTTCAAATAAGTGAATCACTAAATTTCTTAAAGCTTTTCTTAATTTCAGTTAAGATAAAACGTTCTAAAAATATCTTTCAAACAGAGCAGCATTTGAACTCTTATTTCAAATGCTCTTTAAAAGCATTTCTAAAACTAGTCAATTCAATCGGGCCATTTAATTTTGACTTTAAAACGGATTTCATGAGAAATCTTAAATTCAAGTACATCTTAAAGCCCTTTTAAAATCAATCATTTAAATCGTCATGTTTAAAATTTATTTATTTGTTGCATGCTCTGTTGCAACGTTCTAAAACTCAAATACTCAAAACGAGGGTTGTTAGCTACAACCTCGGTTTCCTTAACATACATATGTACCTATACTTTTTAAACATACATGCTTGAAACCTTTAAATCATATATACATATACATGATTTTTCTTAAACTTACTGCGGAAGATAACTGCG